AATTGTTTTGAAAAATGTGACAATTTGAGTAGTGTGATAATGCCATCAACTGTGACATCAATATATGACGATTGTTTTATTGAATGCCCTCATCTAAGCAATTTGACAATACCACCAAATGTTCATACGTTTAATGATAATTGGTATTCATCAAACACAGTCGTTCATTACGAATAAATCTTATAATCAAGTTTTTGTTAAAATTGTGTTTAAATTTTAATTTATAATAACCAAATTTAAGAATAGAGCAAAAATAACTGTATTTCAAAACTATGTACCCTTTCCAAAATTTATATAAACCCTTTGTCTTAATTTCCCATTATTTACTGTTTTTTATTTGTTTTATTTTTTATTTTCCTATTTGTTGAACTAACAACGGTACACAGTTTAAAACCCTTAAAAATCAATACAATTTCAATTATTAAACAAAAAATCGGGAAATCACCCAAATATTGGGTAAATCTTTTCCCATTTTCCAGGTTCGTTATTTGGTTAGTGGTTTATTTTGTAACTAAACGTGAGTTAAACCACATATTTCAAATAAACACAAGATAAACGACAACATAACAATAAACAAACGATGTGATGAAGACACCATTGCATCAAATAATACAACACTTTAATAAATAATAAGTTTTTGTTTATTTCAACAATTAAAAAAGTCATCGATAACATAAAACGACAAACATTTTATAACAAACAAAGTCGCGAATTACAACAGTATAAAATTAAATTAACAGTAAAAAATAAAAAATAAAAAATAAAATTTTGTTTTTTATTATTTAGACTTACAAATAATTGTAAAGTCTTAAACGATTTTTTAAATGCTTGTTTAACTCGTTTATACTTTTCATTTTTATCTGGAACACAACTTGATGATTCAATAAAAACTGACATCTAATAATAAAGTCATGTTTTCTTTTTTTCGGCAAAATTTGTGTTATGGTAATCAAAATTTTAATCCCAAGTTTGTTTTTTTATATATTTTCAAGTAATTTTTTAATGCAAGATTTATTTGTCAAGTAAATTAGAAAAAAATCGGGTTCGTAATTTAGTTTTTTCAAATAAATGTTTATAACAAAAAAATGAGGGTTAAAAAAAGAAAAAACAAATTAGGAATAATAAGTCCAATAAATTAAAGCGTCCCAGTACAAAGTTTTTAAAAACAGTTTACATTTAAAAAATAAGTATTTTGGCATCACAAAAAGTACCAGATTACAAAAACTATATTTTGGAAAAATAAGTACAGTGGCTTAAATAAGGGTCTTAATTTAAAAACGCTTATTAATTTGAGGGTTTCCAAAATATATATAAATATAGTAAAAAATAAATTATAATAAAAATATAGTAATTTAATAGTTTAAATAATGTTGTTTATTTATATGCACCACTATTCCCTTGTTGTAATTAGAAATTTAATTTTTTATTAAAATGGTGTTAAACTTTTAAGATAAATATATATCTAAAAATACAAACTCATCTTTTCATTGTTGTTTTTTGTACATAATGTCCAAAAAAGATGTGGGACGTTTTAAAGTATAACAGTGATTATTTTATTGGTTCACTTTATCCGTTTGAATTTATTGGTTCAACTGTGACTATTTTTTAAAACAAAACTATTAATTGAGTAATATTTTTATTAATTTAATAATACACTATGGTCGCTCTATGTTATATGTATTAAATACAAATTTCCTAATAATGAAACTGCTTTTTCTTGTGAAAATTTAAAGATCAAAAAGGTAGATTTTTTTTTTGGTGTTCTTGGTTCTGTAGGAAGTGGTAAAACATCTATTATTTAATCACTACTCAATGAACTGGAGAAGTCAACTGGAGCAGTTGCACTCAATAGAAAAATAACGTACACAAGTCAAACACCTTGGATGATGAATGCAACAGTCAAAGAAAATATTTGCTTCTTAACTCCATATGAGAAGAATCGATATAAACAAGCTGTGAATGATGCTTGTTTGGTGTCCGATATTGATAACTTTGTAGGTGGAGATTCGTATTTAATTGCCGAAAAGGGCGCCAATTTATCTGGGGAACAAAGACATTGATAAAATATAGCAAGAACATTATATGACCCCAAATATATTGTTATGATGGATGACCCACTCAGTGCAGTCGACTTCAAAGTTGGGGGGAGACGGATAATTGGCCTCAGTGAAAACTGGCCATGAGGAAAACTGGCCACATTATTCAATAAAAGTTCAATAACAATTCAACTTTTTTCTCATTTGTTTTTTTAAATAAAAACGATAAACTGAAAAATAAATAAATGGAAGAAATACCAGAAATTGCTTTTCTTGAAAGTCAAAGAGGCTATCAGATGCCTTACATAAATGGCTGCAAATTCAAACCCGAAAAAAAGGATCGAATAAAATTTAAATGTTCTCACAAAGGTTGTAAAGTTAGAATCGAACTGGTTAAAACTGAGAGTGGAAATTATAAATACACTTTTTTTAAATGATGCAATTCACGGTAAACAGATTTTCCACTCAGGATAAGTCACTCAAAAAATCTTTTTATAGAAATAAAACATTAATTACAATTGATAATTAATTTTTTTGTTTTTTAATAATAATTCAAAATAACATTTTTTTAATTCATTACATCAAATTTGTAATAATTTTAAATTTGTTTTTTAGTTACATATTTTAATAAAACAGGTCATTATAATAAACGAGAATCATTTTTACAATTAGAACAAAAAATTCACTTAAGTATCGATCTTCTGTTTTTTTAGTGATTTTTGCAATTTAATAAATTTTTCATTTTTTGTCATTTTTCTTGTTTTAACAGTGTTAACTTTTTTATTGTTGTTTTTTCTTGGCTTTTTTTCTTGATTTACTTTCAACATTCTTTTTGATTTTTCTTTTTTAGAATCGTATTTGAAACATTTTTCTTCTGTTTGTATAAACACGTTAGATTCTTTTTTTGTTTGTTTCGCTACATCATGTATTTCCACTTGTTTAGACACTTCAGTTGTAAAACAAAATGATTCCACGTTTTCATCAATGTCAGTCTTTTCTATATCGTCGTTGACTACAACTGACACACAATTAGAAACTATTTTAATATATTCAAGTGGACTGTTGTATAATCCAGATCTATAATTTTCTTCGACGTTTTCAATTTCACTGTTTTTTGTTAATCTATTTCTTTTGTAAATACCTTTTCCTTTCATTTTATCAAAAGCAACATTGTCTTCAGTTTCTATTCTCAAATAATTAACAAACCATTCAAGTTCTGTTGGTCGTTTGTTGTGAAATCTTTTAACAAAAGCAGAGTGGAATAATTCTGTAATATTATTTGTTTTATATGCGTTTCCATAATGACTCCACAACGAGGGAGGGAAATTACCTTTTATCCAAGTACGGTTAAAATATTCGAATAGTCGCATATCTTTACAGTTATTTTCATTTGCATTTTTTTTATTTCACAAAACGTTTTTTCAATATCTTCCGGTTTTAAGTATGACAAATTCATTAACAATCTTGCTTTTGAGTGAAACATTTGGTCATTTTTATAGTCTATTCGCAACCCATATTCAACAATTTTTCTGTAAATTGCTTGGCATAAATGGAAAAAACACCCACTAACTTTACAACCCATTTTTTCCAATGCCAGTTTTGCTGCACTTTCAAAATCAATCATACATTCTGTTGTAGTGTTGAAAAGTTCGGCATTTATTAAATTTTTAAGAAAAATGTTAATGTGATTAAACAATTCTAAATAAGTACTTTGTTTTTTGTTTTTTAAAAGACAAGAAAAAAGTAAAAAATGTTGATTGTTCTGATAAACACCATGAATAAAATAAGTTTGATAAAATCCATCCGGTGTGGTCGAATATGTGCCATCCAAAAACAGTGTCGTTGGTAATATTCCTTTCATTTTAAGCAATTTGTCAACATTACAATGTATTAAAATAGTGTCACTTTTATATATTAAATATTGTGAATAATCTGGATGTGAATTGAAACTAATATCAGGAAAATGTTTTTTTCTTTTTCTAAGAAAGATCCTTTTAGTACTACTTTTTCTTCTTTTTTCGTGTTGGTAATCATATTCATCTAAAACCTTTTCGGTGTTCTCAAACCTGTTTTTGACATCAGAAGCTAAACTTTCCAGTATATCATCCGCCTTTGCTCTTTCTATTGGATTATCTGAAACATCAGAATGAATTGTTTGACTAGAAGTATACTTGAAAGATACAAATTTGGTTATATTATTAATAGATCCTTCATAATCAACAATTGTAATTGAAACTCCGCAATTTCTGTCTTTACATCTAAATTTTAACAAAGAACCACCACATTGATGAAAAACATGCCCATCAACAACAGGAAGTAATTTATTACTTTGAGTTGACTTTACAGATTCAATGTTATTATATAATGTTTGAAATTTACCTAAACCACCGTCAGCATTTTCAATTAATGATTTTAAACTGTTAATATCAGAACTTATTGTTGTGACAGTTGGTTTTATTTGAAAAGTTGTTTTCAATTGTTTTGAATTGGCTTTGACTGTATTTGAAGTATCTGTTAAAGCACAAGGCAATTGATAATTGTTTAATATAATATCATTTTCATCTTTGTTACAGTGTCCGATGAATTGAGGCAAATATTGTTGAAAATTTGTATGTTGTGTGTAACACAGAATAGGACCGATTCCATTTATTGGTATAATTGGATATTGAAAAGGAACATTAACTTGCCTGTTTATATTTGGTAAGTTACTTGTGTTTTGGAACTGCGAATAACAAAAAACATTTCCAAAGTTACAAATAGAATTATTTACTGTTTGAGATACAAATGATATAGGTTGATCAACTAATCCATAAGATACAAAAGGATACTGATTTGGTAGCATTGATTATTCAGTTATATCAAAA